AGCAAGCTGTCTAGTTATGAGCGCTCTTTTATTTAATAGCGTTCGACTAAGCAATTATGCCGTTCAACAGATCATTGTAAAAATTTATAACTATATTTCAGTAGTCTACCAGCTAGGGTTGCGTGGGAAGTGCTTGGCAAAGTCATCATAAGCATGACTTAGTGGAAGCCAGTAAAATTTCTGGGCTCATTTTTACGGAAGAAATTTAAAATTAGAGTAATATGAAAGGAAGAAACATAGAAGTTAGCTGAAATGCCTAGATGTCGATTGAAGGTCTTTTTTCATAGTTGTTTGATTCATGTTCTTTGTCGCTACGCCTGGCAGAGTGGGAAATGCCAACCAAAAGTATTACTGCTGGCACCATATATTGTCTTTATGCGGGGAAAAAATGTACCACGTCAGTAAGTCGTCAGCCAGCCAAGTTGACAAGTGTATCAGCCTAGGAGATATGTAAAGGAAAAGGTTGCTGTTTGCAATAACTTAGTTTTGATGATATCTTCTGAAACCGACCTCCATTGCTCTCTCTAAGGGTTGGTAGCCCAGCGTGGCGCGATCAGCAAGCGTGTGAACGCGCTTTCTCGCTTTTCTACCCTTTGTACTCCACCAATATAGGTAGAAGCAACGGAATAACGGAAAAAATGATGCACATCCAGGACGTGTTTACTGGAGAAAGAAAAAAAGGAGGAAGAGATCGACCGGTGAATTACGACTACCAGCGACGTTCTGCGTTGACTAGCCCGAAGCGTTTGTGAACACTAAGCGCTTTCTGCCGATGTCGATTTTCGTAATGATGCTGATGCTGATTTACGGTAATTAGTCATTGGCCATGACAAAAAAACATCTGTATAGCGATTGAAATGATTTTCTGAGACAAATTGCTTGGCAAGCGTCTTGACATGGTCTGGAATATACGTATTCGAAACAGCCTTCCATTGGACTCCAGTCACTGCAGATGAGGAAGTCACAGCTGCCAGAGTTTTTATTTGAAGTACTTCGAATACTTCCGATAAGGAAGGCAAAACTGTTTCTAGTTGCTGAATC